CATTTTCTTACCTTGGTGGAGAGGGGTTCAGGACTTTGTTTTATTTTACAGTGATAGGAAGACGGGCAGAGTGGTGACTGTAGCATCAAAACTTTGTAGGCATCCTTTAGTTTGGTCTTACTGTTAGTATTATGGAAATAATAATAGGAGTGGGTTTTAACTGACATTTATGTTTTCACAGTAACTTAGAGAGATGCTGTTTAGTAAGTGTATATGAATGCTCCTTAACAAAGTAGTGTATTTACCCAACAATTAGAGCAGACTATTTAAAAGTATTATGGACCCTTATATAGCTTCAAAATTAGAAACTAGGATGGAAGCAACCTAATTGTCCATCAGTAGATGAATGGATAAAGAAGATGTGGTACATATACACAATGGAATACTATTCAGCCATAAGAAAGAAACAAATCCTACCATTTTCAACAACATGGAGCTGGAGGACATTATGCTCAGTGAAATAAGCCAGGTGGAGAAAGACAAATACCAAGTGATTTCCCTCATTTGTGGAGTATAACAATGAAGCAAAACTGAAGGAACAAAACAGCACCAGACTCACAAACTCCAGGCAGGACTAGTGGATACCAAAGGGGAGGGGTGTGGGAGGGCAGGTGGGGAGGGAGGGAGAAGGGGATAGAGGGATATTATGTTTAGTACACATGGTGTAGGGGATCACGGGGAGAACAGTGTATCACAGAGAAGGCACATAGTGGATCTCTGGCATCTCGCTTCACTGATGGACAGTGACTGCATTGGGGTATGGGTGGAGACTTGATAATATGGGTAAATGTAGTAACCACATTGTTTTTTCATGTGAAACCTTCATAAGAGTGTGTATCAATAATACCCTAATAAAAAAATTTTAATATTACAAACTAGGACATATTCCAAACATAGTTATATAATCCAACAATGTATATGAAAATGTGGTCAATTACCCTCAAGTTCTATATATAATAATATTGAAAAATCTGGCTTCTTCCATGTATATGTAAAATAACTAGATGAAATATGCTATTGAGGCAAATGTAATTGTTTCCCAGGTTCCAACAAGTTGCTAAAGTATCTAGTTGGGAATATAAAACATGCATGGTCTATATGAAAGAACAAGAAAGGGAGGCTCCTTTGAGTCATTTGTTTTGAATCATTATTATAAGCAATTTGTCAATACTTTGTAAGAAATGATACAATTTATTACAATAATCTGCAATAATTATTTTCATCACCCATATCCAATAATCCAGACTAATTGATCAATTGTAGTATGTATTTGTAAAATGGGACATTTCAGAAATCAAATATTCCATTTTCCATCTCCAATAGGGTCTGTGTGGTCAAAGATGACAAGTAATCTTATGCATTTTGACTAGACAATTGTGTGTACTGATTCCAACTAATTGTTTTAGAGGAAAAATGCAATGTGGAGAGTTGGGGGAGACGTCAAGGGTTTTCATTAGGAAGGGAGTTTAAAAACATTTTGTATTCCCACCTGGAACCTTAGACCTTAAATACACAATCTATATACTAGCTGAATCGAATACTAAAACTTGAGTAGTATGCAGTGAGGATTAATAAATGAGTATTAAATCCATTTTATAAATATCCAGTTTCATGATGCCAAATGTCAGCTAGATAACCTACCAAATTTTTTATTTCTTTATTTAAATATTTTGGCATCTCATAGACACAATTTAGTATTACCCATATACTTTTGGCTCATGTATTTTCTTTGACTCATGTATATAGTAACATTTCCTGAAAGTCTTCATAAAAATGACATCTTTTTGTAAAATAAAATCTACCCAACAAACTTTGACTTCTTAGCCATCTTTTGATATAATTCATTTCATTTCAATGCATCAATGATTGCTTAATTTATTTGACCTTTGAATTATTCAGCCATTAAATATTTATTCAGTGTCTACTATGTGGCAGGCCCTATGCATGATATACTATTTATATTCTTCATCTGCATCAACACACACACACACACAGTAACTATAGTAAGTATTAGGAATCTGTTAATTAACAAAGTGACACTTTAGAAGCTAAGGATTTAGCACTATGCTTAGCATAGCCCCAGAAGAACTGAGTTGTAAAGAGGAATGGCTTTCTGGTTTTTGAACAGGATTTAAATGAGATTTAAAAATGGGAAGGACAGGTGTGACAACAGGAAACCTCTTCCTCAGTGTGCTTCCTTTCCTTATAACTTCTCTCTTCATTGGGAACCGCATACCTATGGTGACCATGGGCAGGCCTTCCTTTATAATGCTCTGTATGAATTGCATTCTCTTTTCTGTTCCTCAGTGGAGCTTAGTCAGTATGATTTTACACAGAGGAAGGCTCATTAGCCTTGCCTAGTTAAGTGGTGTCACTGAAATGCCATTTGGTTTTAAAATGATTTTCAGGCCTTGCTGTTAAACCCTATTTGCATCATGTTGATTTTGCTCTATACGTCTTGTTCCTCTTTGTGAGCAACAGCTGTGGATATTCGTGAGCTTTTCTTGGCTATCTACATAAGGCTGAAGTGAATTTTTTAAAACTGTGGCATCTGCGTCACTGCTTGCATACTAGCTGGCATCCTAGAGTTTCTGGGGCATCTGACATGTGACTTTCAGAGCTCTCTTCCTGCTCTGAAGTTCTCTTCCTGCCAGCCACCATACCTTTATGTTCATGTTAAAAAGACATGCTAGAAATCAGAAGCAACCATTTTCCAAGGAATGGTGTGCTTCTAGAATGCTAGATTAAATGTATTATCTAGACTTGTTGGGTGTTAACACATATCAAAAACATCCATGTTCTTTGTCTTAACTTGAATGGAGATATGCAAACATAGCAATATTTTTCTAGAGGAATGTCTTTGTGGCATCACCTGTATTAGGATATAGGTGAAGCAAGTAAAGATAGAACTATGAATATGTGAGTTTAGTCAAGGTTGGGAGGAAAATTGTCATAGGACAAGTAATGGGGCAAGAGTCTAGAGGCCTGGTCAGATGGATGAAAAAATCATATAGTCATTGCAGATGGCTAGCTCATAGTAGATGCTCAACAAATCATTGTTGAATGAATTAATAAGTAGTTGAATTTAGGAAAGCTTGTGACATAGGAAAGTTATCAAAGTTAGAGGAAACAAAGGTCTAGTGTGACATTATGGAGGTTAAAGCAGCAACACCATCCACCAAGAACAGTCAAATAAATTCTGTTCAAAGGAACGGAGCTGTATGTCTTTTGGCCTGTTTTATCCTTCCAGTTGTGTATCACTAGCCACTCTAAGTCCCAGGTGAGCAATTATAGCTGGAGACAGTCAAGAGCTTGCAGGTGCATCCTGAGCTTGACTGGAACAGAAGCAGAGGTGCTAGGATTACCAGGAGGTTCTTACATTAACATTGCTTATGAACATTCTCACTTCCAAGTGGCTTTTTTTGCATAATACTGAATGTGTTCCATTGTAAGCCAAGTGATCTCAACTGTCCAAGGCAGTCCTTCGTGTGTATCTGCTTCTAGACAATCAAGTAACCCAAGCAAGGTTTACAGAAGCCTTTTCCAGCTAGAGGACTTGCTAAAGAGAAGCCTCCTGGCTTCAGGCATCATAACATAAATAACCAGAGTTCCTTTCATGAGGGAGTGGCAGGATCTTACCTGAATTGGAACAACACAATCCATTTTCTAGATAGTCAGGGGATCCCACCTACTTCTACCATTAGGTATTTACATTTGTTTATATACTTATCATTTATTCCTCCTTCAGCACGCAGAATGAAATAATAATTATATAGGTAAGTGGCTGCTTCATTATGAAAATTACCTTTTGGTTAGGTTTTAACTGTTTTAATCAGGTCTGTTTTAACGGAGAATATTGATGTGTTTCAGAAACAAATCCTAAATGTTTGGAAGTATCTTAAAATGGTTATTGAAATTTTATTATTATAATAAAATAAAATATGACATGTATATATCATATCTAACATAATAAAATTCTTATTTGCAAGTAACTATGCTTAATAAATAGTAATAGTTCTGTATGAGTCTGTGCTACATTAACTTTAAAAATCATTTTGTATAAATAAGGGAATTTCAAATACTGCCATAAGTTTTCCAACGTGGCCCTTCTAAAATCAATGGGAACTAAATACCTTGAGTAGCTATATTCATGAATATTTTTCAGGATAAAATGCATGTATATATGTATGTACATTTTCTCTTTGGAGAGGCTGACTCTGAGTCGATACAGCAAAAGAGGAAAAAAATACTTTCTCAAAGCACAGTTAACTCTGACTAAATGTGTGAAGGGAAAACCTAATTTGGCAACACTGGAAAGATGTATATTTTGAAACAAAGGCTTCTTTTGGAACTTGTGTCCAATTAGTTGGCCATGGATTGAACAAGAATAACAGGCAGTGCACTTGTATGAAACCCAGCTGCTGTGTCTAATATTTGGTAATGAACTGCTTTTTGTATATGAAGATGACAACAGTAACCAACTGGAAGTATGGCATGTGTTGTGAATAGTGTCTCCAGGAGTGAGGCTGGATTATTTCGATCTCCCACACTCTAGGGCCCACCCCCTCTTGGATCTCTTGCACATATTTGTGCAAACAAGGTATAGTCTGTGACCAAGTAACAGATCCAAGCCACTGGCACCGAAAGTGTTCAAATCCATGACTTTGGTCTGTTTAGTCCTGCCTTCAAACACACTGAGCTAATCATTCACACATCACTGAACATCACAAATATATATAGTCACCAAAAATCACAAATAATTCTCTCTTTCATTCTATCCTGACTATAAGTTGCCCATTGCATAACAGTTTTAGTTCATATCATATGACTAGGTTATGTTGAAATGTACTGGATCTCTTACAATGCAACATGTGACTTCTTTTTTCCAATTATTAATGATGGTTACTAATTATAGTGCTTATTCCAGCCTATAAAGACTTTTAGTACTTAAAGAGAATCTACTGATAAGTACAACCCTTTTGTTGTTCTTTATATTTAAGACAACAAAGAATATGATGCCTACCTTTCTTACACAAAAGTGGACCAAGATACTTTAGACTGTGACAATCCTGAAGAAGAGCAGTTTGCTCTTGAAATACTGCCAAATGTCCTGGAAAAACACTATGGATATAAACTCTTCATCCCAGAAAGGGACCTCATTCCAAGTGGAAGTAAGTACTTGCAAGTTTTGAATTTCAAAAGTTTGGTTTCTTTTAGGAAGTTACATGGAGTCTTCAAACATCAGAGCCAAGTACTTAGATAGCTGTTTCTCACAGGTGATTTTATTAAACTCAAATTTCTCCCTAATGCCTATATTCTGACTTTCCAGCATCTGAATTTTTTAAAAGGCACTCTTGCTTATGTTTCACCTTAGGGTTTTGAGACTGTACCTTAATGGTATTTTTATTATATTGCCTTAGTAGTCTGAGAAAATGATGATCCTTAAAAATCTGTACAAGTCAGTTAAAGTCTTTCAATGCATTTCAGTTCCAAAGCTGGTCTTCTGTCATTGTGCTTCTACTTATACCTACAATCACTGTCACTAATAACTCTGAATTTATGCATCATTAATAATTTCCAGATTCATAGAAAAAATCCACATAAAAAGGTATGTGAGCACATTGGGTGTGGTATTTTCACTGTAAATTTAAATTATTTTTAAGAAATTCTGGACTATGTGGTCTTGAATGCTACTTTTTAACTATACTACATAGTGAAAGCTAAATTTGTGCTTTCAGAATAAATTCAGGTTCAAGTTATAATATATACACTTTGTTCCTGTTAATGTTCAGAGTACCATACAGAATAAAGTGTAAAGGGAATACAAAAAAGCCTAAGATCTGGTCCTTGTCCTCAAAGAGCTTAAAATGCCATGAAGGAAAAATGCTAAAATTAGTTTGTATATGCTAATATCCTTGAGGGGGGAGATTAAACTGTGAACACAAATCAGAATATGGTAATTTATACACATGTAGTAACAAAATTAAAGCTATATTTTCAGTATTTCACAGTAGATAAAATAGTTTCATACACATTATTTCATTTCATCTTTACAATAACCCTATTTGGAGAGAGAGCAGGTACTATTATCTTCATCTTACCAATGAGGAAATAAAGCCTCAAAGAATTCCAAGATCAGACAACTGGCATATGGTAAAGCCGGGATTAAAACCTCAATCTATTTGACTCTGGTTCTCTGTTAGATCGTACTGTTCCTCAGTAACATTTATTCAGATTATCAGCAGTCCACTGGTCACTAAACTGACAGGAGACAAACTGAAACAATTGATTTTGGTTGTTCTTCTCTTTTTCAGCATACATATGTGTCTGTGTATGCTTTTGCGTACACATGAGCATACACACTTACACATACATAGAAAGAAACAAAGGAAACAATATATTGGTCCATTACTTTCCTGCACAAATGTCAGGATTCCCAACTTTTTCCTATGGCCCTCTACTCTTTCCTTTCTATAGTTTCCTTAATTTTCATGACTGGAAATACCACTTCTATATACTGATCAAGTCCTAAGGAGATGCCATGGAGTACTTCAGAGTCCGATACTGCAGAGTCATTTTTGATTCTTCTGTATCTCTCCCTCAAATACAGTGTCCACTGCATCTCTTCCATTCTTACTCCTACCACTCTAATTAGGCCCTAATCACCTCATTCATGCAATGTTGACTACTTTTATGCCTTCCCTATTTTTCCTCTCATCCATCCTGTCCCACCAATATGTGTATCTTCTTGATTGTACCACTCCCTTATTTAACAATTTTTAAACCATCACCATTTCCTATAGGGTAAACTCCATAACCCTTAGCTAAACACATCTACACTCTGATACCAGCCCAGATTGACCTTCTAAACTTCTTACCATTTCCCTACTCATACTTGCCACTCTAGCCAAGCTGTACCTTTGATCTGCATTGTATGTCCCTGTAATGCTTTTGTTCATGTTAAGTCTTTTATACCTTTACAAATCTTAGTTATCCTTCTCCATATCACTGCCTAAATGAAAAGTCCATAATAATTTCTCCAGACCTAGGATTATGGTGCATAATCACTTGTTGGACCATAAATTTTTTACTCCCTGATATTTTGTATTTTTTTTTAATTTTATATAGTTTTCCATCTACTTATGTCTTATCTAGCCAGTGCAATTGTAAGCTCCAGAGGGTAGGGACTATGTCCCATTTGTCCTTATATATCCCTGTCATCATGTGGCAGAATATTTGAGCTCATTGGATGCTTCACAGATGCTTATTGATTTTCTATGAAGAGTACTGGTTTAGGACAAAAGGAAATACTGAGAATAAAAAAGTAAGGTTTTAAAATTTTTGCGTAATAGTATCTGAAAGGCATTTTTCTTTAACAAGGTGAATGTGAAAGCTAAACAGGAGCTTTCTACTGAAAGAAAAGCTTGTAATTCATAGAAATAGTCTCAGTCCTTAAAACAGGCTAATAAGTATATTGCTTTCATTTTTTCAGATATTAGAAAGAATACCTACAGTGGGTTGATCGATCATTGATGAAAAATTTTAAATTCTTCTTTGATATTTTATGGCTGAATCAATTAGATTATTATTTTTTATACTTTTGCCAAGAGCATCTTGTTAAATGTAGAAATTCTGCAAAATGAATTTTTAGAGTGATAATACCCTAAATTATATTAACATTATTACCAAAGTCAAATTTATATTCTATATCAAGTCATCTTCAGTAGGACTCAATGTTGTTCCAGACTTTCTACCTTCTTAGAGTGTTCCAAAATTATTAGACCCAGGGGAGGCAGTCTTTATCAACCCCACCAAGAGACTGAAAAATGTCTTTATGTTTGGACATTTCAACATTGATTATCTTTCTTCTGAACTGGAACACTGTGCTTCATCCTTGTGCACAGCAGAAAGGGAAATGAGGGCAACATGGAACACAGGAGATCCAGTTTACCTAAGTGGATGGATTCATGGTGAGAGTGAGATCCAGATAGCATGAGGACGAAAGAGATGTACCCCAAATTGTGTCCTCCTAATGTTCCTAATCGTCTATTTTGATTACCTGACAGGTCAATTTAATCAACCTGCTGTATCATTTTAGCCAAAAAGGTAGTAGAATATTTATACCTGACTGAGTCAGCTAGTTGTTTGGCTAAATTGATTGAAACTGATTAATTGTTTTGATGTATCATAGACAGGTCTGAACATCCTCCTTGACCATGGGGTATGAGGCTTACACAAGCCATATTCTCTAGCTCAAAACTACAAGATTTTAACTGAGAACTGTAGTGCACTGTATAAGAGATGGATGATAAGAAGTTGTCACCTAGTATATACCCTGGCATTTAACTTTAAAGGAGTTAACATCCAAGATGTCATCAGAATGGGCAGAGATTTTATAGTCCATACAATATCATTTTAATTTTTTTGAGATTATACAGCTATCAGACTGAGCAGGGATTGGGTCCTGGATACTCAATGGTGCACAGGAAGACTCCTGTTACAAGTAAGCCAATTTGGGACAACTATGCAGTTTTTAGATGCAACCACTGGAGGGTGTTTGCTTTTAAGCCTTCCTGAATGAGGAAATGTTCTCTGAATTCCGATTTGCGAGTGTAACCTGCAGAAGTTCTTAAAAAGGTCCTTTGACAATTTTCTTTTTCCATCAACATTTCAGAGCTGGCTGAGCAGTCACCATGTCACAATTAACGAGTTTTTCCTTGGCATTTTTAGCACGCATTCAGGAAGTCGATGAAGTATATGAATAATATACTTTATTTACACATGAATGACAGAGTAGAACATTTTAGACTTGGTGTATGTGTGTTATTAAAGAAGCTTCTGTGGTTTGTATTTGCAGCCATTGGTACAGATTTAACAGGTTATGCTATATAAATATAGACACATTCTTGAGCAGGGGAAAACTACTTATAATATTATAAGCTATGTTAGTCCCTCACATCTCATTTAAAACATGCTGACCCAAGACTACTACTTCCTCCAAAAACTAGCAATGAGACCTTAGAGGGTTGTCAAACAGACTTCATAATATCATTCTTGACCTATAATAACAATTTTCCAAGTATCAAATTAATGAAGCCTATGATATAAACTCATTCATGTTTAATGTCTTCACTTTTGGTGTATCAGTTTCTTTGGTACCACTCTCATGGTATTCTAACTCTACCCCATTAATGCACAAAGCTTTTGAATGCATAGTTTTAAAAGTACATGAATGGATCTCCCCCAACTTCTCTCTCAATATTTTTCTCATATGACCAAGAGTTCTCAAAAAGCTTCAGTACAAAATGTCACTTTCCAAGATGAGGTGGAAGTGTCCATACTCTTCCCATATGCCCTACTAGGGAACTGTACTTTGGCTATCATGAACCAGCAGAGATGGGAATATTTGACATAAATACTCTTCCTAAATGCTAAAGCTAAAAGTCTTCAGATCTGGACATTATTTTCCTGCCAGTGACCTACCTTTCCATTCTTTAGTCTGTGACCAGGGTCTTCCTTATGTTTTCTCAGGTTTGGTGTCTGAATGTGGCAAGAATTCCTACTTTCCAGTAAAATTTTGGTCTGTCTCTTCCCAGGCTAAAAACATCTGTCCTGGGAATAGCAAAAGCAACTTTGTTGCCAACAGGCGTCTGATTGTCAGAAGTGACAGGCAACCAAAAGAAAGCCAGATAGAAAACACCCTCCTCAAACTGCCTAGAGACACAAACTTGAGAAGTAGAGATTTTCTCACCCCTGCAGCTGCTGGGTTTTGTGGTGTAAAGTGCTCTACACAGAGCACATTGTGTTCATGGGGCCTAGTGGATCCTTGAGGAATGAACAGATGTGCTCTGAAGCTGACATGTGACCAACAGAACCCAGCTGTGCAGTTGAGATCCTGAGATTGGGGACATTTTTGGATGAGTACCATTTAGGCTCTTGAGCCCATCTTATCTCAGTGTTTTTTAAGAGATTAAAAAAAAACATAAAAATATAAAAATGGGCTGAGGGCCACTGATCATACACAGAAAATAGCATTCTTTCTGAGACTAAAAGTAGAAACAACCCAATCCTATAGTTTTTGTTTGCCTTTAAGAGAAAATAAGCAAGATGCTTAAAAGTGCATGTGCAATATTATTAACAGTTATAAATTGAATCAGGTCTGTCTAAAGCT